ACAACCCGTTACACAGACCCAGTTAGGAAACAAAACCCAAAACAATCCTGAAAACTCGTACAATTTGGCGTAAAACAGTATATCAGCCATCAAGCCGTCAACTGTGAAATCCATCAGCCATCCAGCTGAATCAACTGACGGCTCCTGCAAACTCTCACGCAGGATGGTGATGGTGTATGATGAAATAGGGGCTGCCGTGTGTAATGGGCACTTAGCTCGCTGCCACATGATTACGACATTATGGGGGAAATCGGGGTGAAATGGGATTGCGAGGGGGCACTGCGAGCGAGATCCAGGCTGAGCGGAAAAAGTGAAAGCGCAGCCGGGAAAAGCTAGCGACGTCAACGAAATCGGGAAAATATGAGACCGGGAGCCAAGAGCTGTGGCAACACGGAAAAGTAGCAAGGAGGTCAATGAGTTGACACGTGCACAGCAACAAACTCGACAGCAAAATGATGGCAAGCTGCAACTATGTCTTGGGGGCAATGCCTCAGCTGTGGGTGTGTGTTGGGTGGGTGTCCTCCCACTTTTGCCCCTGGAAACACAGCCCTCCCCCTTTTGTTGTACTGTGGAGAGCAAGTGATACAGTTTTATGCATGTTTTCCAGGCATTCAGTTCTCGTTTTGGGTACACACATATGCAGATTCGTTTCTACGATACCCGAACTCATTTGTATCTCCATCTGCATATGCATCTGCCACCAATATCCAACAGATACCGGAGAAATGCTCGAAATGAAAACCAAACTTTGTGGACATGAAAATGCAATTCTTGTGTTGCTCTATTTTGTGGATGACAAACAAGGAGGTTGTTTGCCTACAGGAGCACATATTTATGGAAAGACTTGAAGGAGCATAGAAATTTCTGGGAAATTTTGAGTCAAAAAAAGAAGGAAAAAATAAGTTTCTTGAACAAATTATGATATTACTTTTTGAGTTGCTTAAACAACTTACAATAAAGTAAATTAGTTGTTCAAATAAATACATATGAACTTGTATATTTCATGTATTTTTTATTTGTATTGAACAAATATGAAAATTTTCTATTTCAAGAAACCAAAATTGATTAACAGAAGACAGTTGTCAATTGAAGCATTGACCCTAACTTTTTCCACCGCAAGTAAATTCCCATCAATGCTCTGCACATGTGTTTCCGTCACAGGAAAATCGAGTCAAAGACTATATAGTCGTAATTCTCAATTAAGTTTTCAGATGCAGGCGAGCACATGGCTGCAAATTCGAGGCAGAACACAAACATTGACCCAATCGCAAGTCAATTAATGTGCGACGAGCGAGAAATGTTGAAAATCGGCAGAAGGGCAGGGCTAGACTTTTCAACATAACTCAACCGATTGAGCCAAATGACTTTTTAATTGACTGATGGCTCTGGCAATGGCAAAAGCCACAAACAAGCGGCCAACTGACAGGGGGCCAAAAAGTTTCTGTGACGCAAAAAAAGAGTAAGCCATGTCGCCTTACAATTGAGTTGGGAAAAAGAAAATTCCTGAACTTGAGAGAAAACTTCACTGGACAGTATGTTTAAGTTGATCTCATAAATAAATTAATAGTTAAGCTTCTACCAACAAATTAAATAATAGAGCCAAGAAAAGTCAAAGCATTTGTGCAATTTATTTCATATTAAATAAACATTGCTTGTGAAAAATATTCTTCGGTTCTTGTTATTAAATGTAAGTTCTTAGATGTAATTTTTCAGTTATTATTATTATTAATATAATATAATTTTATTTTGTTTTTAAACAAGAAAGGAAGGAAACTTCGGCAAGCCAAAGTTTTTATACCCTCGCAGCTATTCTATAAATTAAATGTTTTTTAAAACATCTAAATAGAGTATGCTTAAAAACATTAAAGCTATGATGATTGTCATCTTAGTATGGCAGCTTTATGATATCGTTTTCCGATTTAAATAAAATTAAATCCTTAAAACGAAACTACTGACTGAAATTTTAATACACTCTTCAAGGGTTTAAAACCAACATTTACCATATAAAATCGACATTGGTTAGACTCATATTTTCCCTCAGTGTACGTTAGCGTGTGCAGAGGCATTCGACTGTTAGTCAGTGAAAATTTCTGGCTGAGGCCAACCGCAAGACATCCATCATCCGTGATGTGAGCAAGGCTGACTGGCGAAGCACACCGCCGGCGGAAAGGTGAATGAATGAGCATCGGCAGGTCGTAAAGTGCAGCCAGCCAAGCAGCCCGGCAGTCCGTCGCAGCTGGCACACCCCACACCCCACAACCACACCACGCACTCCCTCAATCAGACCCACTTTTCCACTTCCACTTTCGCCTACAAAGTGTGTTTGTGGGTGTGTGCAATTTATTGGCAATTTCATTATTTATAAGCGATTTTCATGCGTTTATATTTGATCATTCCGATGGGAGGACAGGTGCACAAAAGGTTGGCTGAATGGACACACTTGCCTCAGCGACAGTTTTCCTAACGACAGTTTTCCCATACAATTTCCTAGGTCTTGACACACAATTCCTTTTCTTTCCCCATCAATTGTCAACACTTTATAGCCGACATTCTTCGAGTGGAACTCAGCAGTAAATGAATCTCCCACGCCTTAAAAATTACACTTATGTGTATCTGTGGCTGTACATTTTACACGGTCAGAAATTGTTTAGAAATCAAACTTCTGTTGTTATAGGTAATAAAATAAATCCCAGGCGAAATACTTTCAGAAATGATTTTAAGGTTCACATCGTGAAGAATGAAGTAGTGATATTCTAATCAAGAGTATATAGCATATGGGTAATTCTCCAGAAAAGTCAATCGCAGCCAAAACCTTCAAAGTCTGTAAATGTATGTTTTTACAGGGAATCTATTAAATTTAACTATTATACGCAAATTGAATATAAATTAAAAACATATTTTGAAATATTATATTTCAATCCGAATCAGACAAGTGTGGAAGTTCTGTTTTGAACATTTGCTTGAAAATATTCAATTAAAAAAAAAACGTTGCCTTCGACATTAGAGAATTACCCATATATCTAATGATTGTAATATTTTTCCCGCTGTGTGCCCTTGTCCTTGACAGATACCAGCTGACATCCAACCCAACACAACCCACCCATTCACACTCAATTAATGACAATTGATTTGTGACGGCAAGCACGCTGTTCGCTTGTTTGTTGTTTCCCTGCCATTATTCCGGTCTGCCCTATTTAAACTATCGCGAACAATCATTCTCAACCACTTTCCCGTCATCGCTGCAAATCGATGGCCTCGCGGGTCCAAGTGCGTTCTGGCTGATCCTGCATTCTGCATCCTGCAGCCTGGTTTTGCTTTTGTACGGCCAGATGACCTTGGGCCATTGGGCAAATTGGCTCCACCAGTCGGCAAATAATATGCTGCTGCATAAATAGCCAATTCGTCTGATTTATTTATGCACTTATTCCAAATGCAAAACTTTTTATTGGCATGCCCGCAGGTAAATCCAAACGAAGGCGAACAAAGGCTGCGGCGAGCACTCAACAACTGCATTTACATAATACCCATTCCGCTTATTTATCTATTTACTGGCTTACACATAAGCACGCGGTGGGAGGGGCATTCGGTATAGCCGAGTAGACATTAAAGGGCTTAGGCAAATTCTTGGCCAGAAGAGGTTCTTGGCCTGCTGGTCTTTTGACACTTGTATAGTTTCGCTCGATTTCAATAAGTGTTCGATGTCTGTAAGGGCGTGTTGTTTGAGGGGCCCGAGTGTTCCTGTGTGGATAAGGATGCCCAGGATGGCTGACAAAGGACCGCACTGGATGCCGATGCTCAATGCTGGTCTCAATTTAAGGAGCTTTGCAGGCTTATTTGCTTTACGCTTTAATAATTTTCGAAATGGGCCTTGGCCAAGGAAAAGCCGTCTGAAAATGATAGGTCAACACAATACACTGTTCCGTACAATGTCCTGGATTTGCTTAAAGTTGGAACTTACCCAATCGATATCCTGCATTGATATCTGGGGCGAACGACTTCAGTTGCTGACTTAAATCATGTCAATTATTTGAAAGAATAAACCCATTTAAATCTAGCAAGTTGAGATAAATTAAGAACAGTAAACTATTTACGTAAATATATCGTATTTTTCAATTGTATTGTAATTTGTACTATCACCAGTTTTTTATTCAAAAACTGGCTTAATCTAGAACCATTCACAATTTTAATATTCAGATCAGTCCTAACGTTTTTCTGTGTCTATCAAAGATTGCTTAATTGAAAAAGTTATGCAACTTAATTAAATATAACAACGTGACCAATTATTTTCAAAAACTTTAATTGTATTTGTCTTTAAATAAAAGGCTGTCCACTGCCTTTGGGGGCTTACAAAAAAGTTTACAAAAATGTTGTAGGAAAACCCAAGCCACTTCGAACCTCCTGCATGAAAACAAATTTAGCCAATCGGGCATCCAATTCAATTTAGATATTTTCATCAAACAATTCCCAGGGAGTTTTCAATACCAAACATTTGTCGGAGTTCCAAAAGTATGCTTTTCTTTTGTTGCAAAACTCAAACATTCAACAGTTTGGTGTGTTCAAGGATGCTCGTCGCTCAGGCATGTCCTTAAATTTTCCATTCCCGAATACCACTGCACGAATAGGTATATTACTGCACACACAAATATTTAAAATACCAGGGCGAGAAATGCAAATTCAAATTCTAAAAATTACACAAGGCAAGTCGAGCCTGTCCCCAGCATCCGAGGACCATGGGCACGTGGCTGGGAGGACATCATCATAAAGGACCTGCCAAAAGCAAATGTTCAAAGAGTCAAATGCAGAGAAAAACATTTCACATTTTTTGGTCATTTCATGCCCGTCATTTTTCACGCTTGAGTTTGTGTTTATGGCAACGTGAAAATGATTCTGCCGTTTATTTTGCCTGGCCAAAGTTTTGCCAGTTTTCCATTTCTCCCCTAACCGCATAACCGCATTCCAAGCACACACTTCAATTTATATTTTGATTATCGCTCTTGCAGAAATACAATATCAGCACTGAGAAATGCGGGGATCTGACTGTTATAGTGCAGGTGAGCACGGCTCCTCGCGACTCGACCTTTTCGAGAGCTGCTAACCTTAAGCATGGTATTTTCTTGTGATTTAGGGCGACCTGTCGCAACAGGAGAAGCGTGCCGTATTCATCACGGTCCACGACCTGGGCTGCAACCGTAAGTAGGCGGCTCCCCGGAGAACTAATTGCCAGTCGTAAGGGGTAACTAATGGTGTCCGTCCCCAGACAATTCCTTCCAGGAGTTCGTGAGCAGCCCCTGCATGACGGAGATCAAGGAGCGCTCCTGCTTCATCCACGTGGATGTGCCCGGTCACGCGGACAACGCCGACGCCCTGGCCGACGGCTTCCCGTTTCCCTCGCTCCAGGCTCTGGGCGAGGACCTGGTTACCGTGCTGGACTACCTGCACGTCAAGTACGTGATTGGCCTCGGCGAGGGAGCGGGCGCCAATGTACTGGCCCGCTTCGGACTGGCCCATCCCAGCCGGGCGCTGGGTCTCATCCTGATCAACGCCACGGGCAGTGCCGCCAGCGTGGTGCAGTCCTTTAAGAACAAGGTGAGTGCGGGCTACCTTCAATCAGCTTAGGGCCTCTTTCTAGTCTTCAGTTTAAGTTGCCTGCCAGGGTCCTTTTTTACTATTCGGATCCGATTTGACTTCTTCCATTTAAGATATGTTTTACTCCTTAAGCCAGTCTTTGATTGGCAGCGGGTTTTTATCAGGAACCAACAAAAAGTGTTTAAAAAGGTCGATTTTAAACTGTATCTAAACTGAATCGTATTAATATTGTGTACAGAGTTTTAGAGTGCTAGGAATAAAATAGTGAGAAAAATATTACTCATACGCAGTGTTGCACGCTGCAAATGTATATTAAAATAAGAAAAGAAGCATTCTTTGGCAAGTCGATTTCAATTTCGATTTGAATAATAAAATAAAATAAATAATAAACTATTTCTATATCTCGGAGTATACTCAAATAAGTTGAATCCAGCAAAGTGTCATTCATTTTTCCTATTGTTCCTGAGGGAGCTACCTCCAAAGAAAACACTGAAAGCATTTGAGAATAAGTATTAATTCAATACAAAGTAATATAGCTTCTATACTCTTAGTTCATTTTTATACTCCTCCTATTGAGACATTTTTCATACCCAATTGTTTAAACTTTATGTAACAATAGTTTAGTTTCTATGACAATTTTTTGTGTATATGACAATGTCATTCGATCCGGCTTTTTATTAAAAACTACATTTATTACTCTTTTGCCATCTGTCAGAATTTTTTTAAAACTTGTTAGACACTTTTAGAGTAGCTTATTAAAACGCTTGTTTTAATTTAGAATTTAGTCTTCATTTACAATTAATTAACATGCCGTCCTTGTACCATTGCAGTTCATTAGCTGGAAAAGCGACGAGGTGGCCCAGTCGGCTGAGAGCTTTCTGATGTACCACAAGTTCGGACATGTAAGTAGTGGCAATCAGATGGGGAGGGACTCATCCTCGCCGAACTAAAATGTGCCATTGGCTGTGCCGTGGAGTGCGTGTTGTCGTTGGTTTGGTCTCAGTGTTGTACTCACTTTACCTTCTGTTCTTTTTTATGTTTTAACCTAACAACCACCCGCCGAATCGAACTCTGTTCGTCTGCGCTTTCAGGTTATGGAGGTAAACAGATCAAACGTGTCTTAAATAAGTCTCTTCCTAAGCCAATCCATCCGTATACCTCGCTCAATTGGTATTGCAGTGCTCGCTGAAATTTAAACTCCGACATAGTCTTAGGACCTGTTTTGATGCATGCTTAAATGTTTATTTATTTATTTATTCGTTAAATTTCTCGTTATTTTCTTCTAGAACTGGGTATGTACATAGTTTTTCCCCCCACTCATCCGGCAAGAAATTGGCCTAAAGCAGAACTGTGCAACCAAAATTGGAAAGAAATTTAATGATCCTCAATTTGCTTGGTTAAATATTTGTCATTTTGTTGTCCCTGCTTTGAAATGCTTGCATGAGTGCACTTCCCGTAGTCGATAGCTTAGTGTCGTAGATCGCTTTTACTTATGGACTGTTCATGGACTCATGCCAATGTTCTGCTTCCTGACACTGCACAAAAAAAACCCGGTGAATCACCGAACTTTACAGCAAATCGTGGGCGAGAATCCGGACAAGGACAAGATTGTAGCCGAGTACCAGAAGCGTCTGCACCGATCCCTAAACAGCAAGAACATCGGTCTCTATGTCAAAGCATTTATGAAGTAAGTTAGCCAGCCCCCACTTGAGTGCAACATTTTCTAATTATATGCATCTATGGAAACACAGTCGCAAGGACCTCACGCTCAAAGGCTGCAAAGTGGACGTCATCCTTATCACAGGCATGCTGAGTCCCTATGCCTCAATGGTCGAGAAACTGCACCGCGATGTGGAGAAGGAAAGGGTTACTATACTGAAGATCGAGAGGGCTGGAGATGTTCTAGCTGATGCTGTAAGTATTTATGTTTAATTAAGCAAAACCACCTCTTATCGAGCAAAAAACCGTCGAAACGATCGCACTTTCAACGTGCAAAATTTCTGATATCAAACTTTGGGACGAAAAATATATATTATATATTACTATTTCAGTCAAAAGTTTGAAACGCAGTAAAGGCGACATTTCGACTTTATGAAGTGTATATATTCACTAATAGAGTTAATCTGCCTATGTCCGTCTGACCTTCCTTCCGATTCAACGCAAACGAGTCTCTTATTTTTTAAAGCTATTTCGACGAAATTTTCCCAAAAGTTGTATTTATATAAATATACTTATAGATAAATTAAGAAATTATAAAGATTTGAAACGATATCATATAACTGCCATAGAAACGATCTAAAAATAAAGCGGAAAATCGACTTGTTAAGCTTTATTGTTGATAAGTTTATTTAATAATTATATAAATATAATATATAAACTTTGGCTTGTCGAAGTTGTCTCCTTTTCTTGCTATTTCACATTCCATGGGACACCATGTGGATAGTCATTTTAAAACCATTAATTTTGCAGCCCGGTAAGGTGGCCCAATCCATACTGCTGTTCTGCAAGGGACAGGGTCTGCTCACTTCGGTGGTGATGCCAGGAGTAGATCGCGGTCGCGCCTTCTCCACCGCCAGCTCTGGATCCTTCGAGGGCGCTAACGGATCGCGGCGCTTGTCGCGTGGCATCTCGATGGAGGACTACGACAAGCCCAACATCCGCCGACTCAGCATCATGAATAGTGAGTTGCCAAAGAAGGAGTAATCCCGACCACGACCACGTTCACTGCTTTAGCTACAGAATTGCACCTTCAGCGTTGGTAGATTAAGCATAATTGCGTATTTAAATTAATTATATTAGTGAAATACCTTTAGTCTGAGCATAGCGTATTTGTGAACCCAGAGCCAAACAATCACCCCAAATGTAACCGCTTACTATAAGTCGAATAAGCGGAATTTTAAGCCAAATTTTAATTAGTAATCGCTTCCGGTCTTCAACAAGCAAAGGCAACAAACCCAAAGACACATTGTCCCTGCGATTGGAAGGCAGGCAAACTAAGAAATTGACACGTATTTAAACTGTGTATTTAGGTTTAGTTTTATGTACCCCAAAAATCCCACCTGTGCAACTATAACGACAGCCAAGCATTCATATCTAAATCTTCCAATCGAACGAACTTAATCACAACTGCTAAATGTGAACTATAAGCAAGCAATCATCTATGTAATACCTCCGAATAGTAAACTGTACCTAAACAAGTAGAAACAAATGCGAAGTACTCCCAAATGTGACTCCCTACACAACTCTTCGTTCTACAATTTTGTATAATTTTTGTGAACTGTCTCAAATGTTGCTATTTTAGTGAAAAACCCATATACAAAGTTTGACTAGTGTAAGTTGAAAGCACCACAACAAAAGATGCTAAAAAAAATGTATTTATACCAGACAAAGGTACACGGATTACATATTATATGTGTAAAAATGAAAAACAAAAGCAATTCGAAATCCAAACATTTTAATGCAATGTTGCTGTCATACGTTTTTTGAAGCGAATATTACAATTATTTTATCGCATTGGCTTTAGCTTAACATTTAGTGAAGACAATTAAGTCGACCAAGCACTCAGATAAGTAGATGCAACAACAACGTTACAAAATAAAGTTAAAAGAAAAATTCTATTCTAGACTGGTTTTAAATTTAATTTTAAAATTTCGTAAGCATTACCAAATACGACGGAAAAATTAAAATTTCGGACTTTGAAAGCGTTTCATTCACTTCATGACATTTTTAGCTTGGTATTCAGGCTACCAAAATTACTCCCAAAACAAATACCTTCATATAAAAAACACGGCACAAAAATTTGGACCATATCCACAAATCCGCAAAAGCCCATTACCACAAAAACTTAAAAGCGGAAATGTTTAGTGCCACATATATTGTTCCTAACATAACATTGTTTCTAAAATCGGGGTTCATTGTGCAGAATTTTTTTTTGCATAGACCGTAGAACATTTTTTCATGCAACCCTTTTTTGAGAAGAGAGTCACGTGATTTTTAAAAGAATTTAAAAGCCTTTTTAATTTATAGGAGTCTTTGCCAAAGCCTACATGTTTTATAGCAGAATATCCAACTTTGAAAATCGATAACCAGAGAACACATCCCTACGAAATTGTCCATCTGCTTTGTAATCGATAGTTTGACTGGCTTATAGTGATTTGTATATTTCGACGCTACGGTCACTCTGGTGCTTAAGTGCTTTTTTTAACAACAAATTTACAAGCGATTGCGAGAATATAATGTTGATACTGAGCTAACCTGTGCCCCGCCTCCGCCCCCGTCGCCCATCAACCAGCCAAGCACATCTTCGCCTTCAATAGCGTCTACATGGACGCCCCCCCGCCTACGAAGCCTCCGAGGGGAGTGAAGTACGGCAAGGATGAGGTAAATTTCTTCAAGCCTTCGCTGAAAATGGTGTTCGACTCGCACTTCAATCTTTTTACACAATAAACTCACCTGGAACATCCGCCTGGTCGTGTTTTGTTTGCTAACTAATTGGTTTTCGGGCCGCCGCCTGAGCTGCGGGTCCAAAGTTGATGACGACACCTGGTTGTTGTTGTTGCCGCACGCCCTCTTTTTTTTTAGCGATGTTTTTTTCTTAGATTAAAAATGAGTAATGGCTGCGGCCGGCTTGCTTTTGCAGTCCGCAGGATGTGGCTTTCTGGTCAACGTCATCAAGTCCCTGGGATTCAGCGAGACCACAGAGGAGCGCCAGAAGGAGAAGCAGAAGATCGAGCAGGAGTTCAAGCGCTCGGACCTGCGGCTGAACGAGTTGGTGTCGCGTCACGACCAGCAGCTTACCCAGGTGCTGCCCCTGTTCAGCCAGGTGTCCTCGGAGGTGACGGCCAGCCGGGAGCGGATCCATGCCGTCAAGGAAAACCTCGGGGTCTGCAAACGGCTGCTCCAGTGCCGGCGCGATGAGCTCAGGAAGATGTGGACGGACGCAGTGCAGCACAAGTACGTGCTGGAGATGCTGGAGCAAATGTAAGCACCTCACCCATTGTCGTCCATTGAAGCCGCATTAACTTACCAATACCTTTCTAGTCAGGAACTGCGCAAAGTGCCTCAGCGGGTGGTAGGTTACACCGCCAAGCGGCAGTATCTGCATGCCAGCAAGGCCTTGACCAATGCCCTGGCCACTCTCAATGGACCACTGCAGGCCGTGGAGGGTTTGTCCGACCTGCGGACCGACCTGCAAACCCGTCGCCAGCAGCTCTATCAGCGGCTGCACGAGGAACTGGTCACCCAGGTGTACACTAACTCTGCCAACGAGGCCCTCTCCTCGTTCCAGCGCAGCAACTCCAGCCGTTTGAATTCCAGTTTCACCAGGGGAATAGGGGCCCGCCGCTCCACGGATCGCATCGAGGCCAATGCTCGAGTGCGCAAAGCGCTGGCCGAAATTACCCAGAACTTTGATTTGGACAAGGCCGAGGTCATTGAAGACGCTGATCTCATTTACCCAGAGCTGAGCATGAGCTACTTCGTTGCCATCATTGTGGAGTCGTTCGGAATGCTGCACAAGGTGCCCGACTCGCTGGAGACGCTGCGCGTCCAGATCCAAACAGAGCTACTCAACGTGGTGCGGCACACAACGCATCAACTGTCTCTAAGTGGAGCAACTGCGGAGGGTAATCCGCTCCTCACACTTTTGGAGATCATATTCAAGCAGTTCAAGGCCATCGCCAAGACGCATACTTTGCTGCTCAAGAACTACTTGTCGGTGGGCCAGAAGTACTCAGTGGTTGGGCCCCAACCCTACGACCTCACGGACTTTTGGGCCCAAGCGCAGTCAGTGGTTAGTGTTGAACATACAAGCTGTACTAACTCCATTTCTGATTGAGCACCCTATTAATAATTTTAGTTTCAACTGCTGCTCACCGACTATTTGGATATACAAAATGCTGCCTCGGATGAAAGTGCCCAGACGGGCTTTTCAGAGCCTACCAGCAACATAAATTCCTATTTCTTAAGGCGCAAGGTGGCAAGGTAAGTCACTCGATCAACGGGGCAGCTAACTGACAATTATTAACGATCATTCTGTTACTAACTAGCACCAAGCGCTCAATGTTCAAGTTCGACAAGTCCTCGCATGTTGGCAGTAGCGGCAATAGCGACTCCTTTAAGGAGCATCGTCGCAATGCTTCGGATGCTTCCGTGGAAGATAATCTGGGCGCCCAACTCGGAGGCAGCGGAAAGGGTTCCACCAGCGGCCTATTTCCCCACGAAAAGAAACAGCGGGAGAAGTTGTTGATCTGTACGCCTGATCAAAATATCATAACCAAAGTGTATCTACCTCTAATGGGATATATCAAGGAGATAGAAAACTTTATGAAGTGCAAGCCAGGGTGAGTTAATTCGTGGTCGTAGCTATATACGGTTATATCTTCTGACATTATCTCGCATTTCCAGTCAACCCTGCAGTCTACATGACTTTTTAGACAACTACATTAAGGACACATTCCTATCCAAGGGCCACAATCGCAACCTGCAGCTGACCATAGAGTCGTTGTCAAAGAATCAAGATGCGTGGCGCACTATTATCAGTCCTGAGGAAATAAAAGCTCTAAACCTGAGCAGACCTTTGCTGCAGTCCACTGTGATGGTCGAACGGAGGCTAATGGAAACTAAGAGCCTCATCCAAGACCTGCCTTGCTACTCTGAGGACCTGCTTAAAATGGTGTGTGCTCTGCTAAAGGCCTATCGTGAGATTTGCCAGGCAGCATATCGGGGAATCGTGCAGCCGGATTCCGAGGACAAGAGGATTTACAGTGTGGCCTGGCTAAAAGATGAAGATATCAGCAGATTTTTAAAGTAAGTGTCGGATTATTAAAGTAAGCACGTGGAATGCAAATTAAGTTAGTGCTTATATTTTAGAACGCTTCCCAACTGGACGGACTTGAAGACCTCCAGTCAGAAATCGCGTCATAACCGGAAGCTCCATCGAGGAAGCTTTGAGCCGTCGGAGGAGGAAAGTCCGTTGCAGGTGCAGCAGCGCAACATTCGCGAGGCCGAGATGCTGACCAGTAATTTGGGTGAGGGTGGCATCACCCAGCAAGAGATTTTGGTCGAGATCAGCGTGCTTAAGGAGCTGGCAATACTTCAGGAAAGCATGGAGTGGTTCTCATGCCGCGTCTCTGAGTTTGCCAACGACTTGCGCCGACCGATGATAAACGGACTGAACTCTGTTGCCGCTGAGTGCAGCGCCGACATCGCCGTTAAGGATGGCACAATTAAAGTCATGACTAACCTGGCACTGGAGTTCGATGAGCTGGCGAACACCTGTCTGCTGGTCTTGCATCTGGAGGTGCGCGTTCAGTGCTTCCACTACCTACGCTCGAAGTCGAGTGTGAGAAGCAACAGCTATGTGGGTTCCAAGGATGACATCCTGGAGCCAGACCGTCAGGTGCAATTATTGACCAAGCGGCTGTCGGAAATGGATGAGGCGTTTAGTGCCACTCTCCATCCAAGAAAGACCAGGGTAAGCTGCATATTTTATACATGTTTACCGCAGATTTTACTAACACTGTATTATCTATCCTGCAGTACATTTTCGAGGGTCTGGCTCACTTGGCATCGCGCATTCTTATTCAGGCCTCAAATTATCTGGAGCACATCGACCAAATAACTGTCCAGCGCATGTGCAGGAATTCGATCGCACTTCAGCAGACGCTGAGTAATATAACCGCATCCAGAGAGGTGGCGTTGGATCAGGCCAAGCACTTCTATGAGCTGCTTTGCATGGAGCCGGATGTAAGAAAGATTGCTTTATTCTTGATCATTTTGTTCGATAATGCTTTCCAAATTCCCCATAGGAAATACTCAACGCGTTGCTGGAACGGGGCACACAGTTCTCAGAGATGCAGTTGCTCAACGCCCTGCAATTGTCGTGCAAGTCCTTCGGCATAACAGACGCCAATCTCTTGGCTTCCTATCAGCAAAAGCTTTCGGACATACTGGGCGCCAAGCCCTCCAAAGGTGTTGTTGTGTGATTATCGTTACAACCAGAGGAGTAACCAATTTTAATACCCATTCGTTTGTGTACATCGGCATTAGGTGTAATGTGTGTGCAAAATGTGTGTGTTAGTGTTAAGCTCAAAATGATTATGAACGTTCTAAACATGTTTGGCGGAGCACTTGGTGTTGCGATGTAGTCGTTTATACAGATACATATTCTAAAGTTCATTAACAGTACTTTAATGGCTTATACGCAATAAATGAGAATTTAACAACGATTTTTTGACTTCATAATTTTAATAGTAAACAGATTTTTATCCGAGTATTTTATTGAAAATGGTTTTTTAATTTATATTTGTTTAAAAAGGAGATGCCCTTATTAGCGTTACAACCGTTTCGTTAAACCCGCATGACTAAAAGCGTTCAATTTATAAATACATGTTTTTTATAATATTATTAGTTTGTATTTTCAGTTTTATAATCAGGTCAAGTTATTTTACTGTGCACCAAAAATGGAAACTAGTGAATAATAATAATAGATTAAAATATATATAGACATTTTTGGCTAAACATAATTTTTTACTTAAAAAACGTTAGCAAACGTAGTCTGTGAACGGTCATTTTAAAGAAGCGCTCAAGCAATTGGGTCGAGTTGGCACTACTACACTATCGATGTTCTATCTTCTATGTTGGCATAGATATTTCCCCACCCCTAGCGGTGAATTTGCGTGCCTGTGGTGGGTCTGTGTTTTGCAGTGAAATGTTAGCGAAACGACGAACCAACAGCGATATGTAAGCAAAACGTCGAACTAACAGAAAGAGAGAGAGATGGATGGATAAACATCGATAATTCCTGCCAAAACATCGAGAGAACCTATCGATGACATCGACATTGGCATCGGTCCACCTCTAAAAGCCGCAAGAAAATAAATATTTATTAGTAATTTACTAACATAATAATTATAAAATGCCAGAACCAGTTGAAAACGCAGAGGTAAAGTCGCCGTCTTACGACTTGTCCAAATTCCGGCTGAAGCGGATTTTAACTAACAACAGTGTGAGAAAGAGCATTTCCCTGCTCGGCACTTTTCCCGACATTTCGGAAACTGACGATGCAATTGTTGTTTTTGAGAAAAATGGTAGTAGCAAATTAAAAAAACTTAGTGCCCTATAAATTTCAAATATTTCTCTACAGCTTACCGCGAAAGCGATGTGGCCACGCCAGAGTCGCCATCTGAGGAGTCTCCAAAGAAACCAAGTTATTTTAACGCCAACCTGAAGGTGTCCACTGAGTTTATCAATAATATTTACGGCAGTTTTCAGGTTGTGCCCAGCCGAGATTTGTGCGGCAAGTATAGACCTATAAGCAATGCATTTAATCAGACTAATGTTATAAAATACCCTTCCCTTTCGCAGGCGTCAAAAGCACAGTTATATATCCCGCCACCGATAAACACATCGAGAAATATTCCGTTTGCCAAAAATATCTCATTCGAGAGACGCCTGATCTCTACCAAAAGATAACGCTCCCATATTTGACCTCAAGCCAGTTCTCCCTGGAATGGGTTTATAACATACTCGAGCACAAACAGGAGAAGGAGCGGATCGTGTTTGAGGACGAGGATCCGGAGACTGGATTCATTCTTCTCCCCGATCTCAAATGGGACGGACGCAATGTGGAAAACTTATACCTGCTGGGCATTATACATAAGCATGATATCAAATCCCTGCGGGATCTGAACGGAAGCCACCTCGATCTGCTGCGTAATCTGCGCCAGGCGTCGAAGGACGCGATCTCCAAGCGCTACGGCCTTAATCCCAACCAGCTGCGCATGTACTTCCATTACCAGCCGTCCTTCTACCACCTGCATGTGCACATCAATCCGGTTCGGAACGATGCTCCTGGCATCTGGTGTGAGAAGTCGCACATGCTGGACACTGTGATCAACAACTTGGAGTTACTGCCGGACTATTATCAGCGAGCTACCTTGCCTTTTGTACTGTACGAAGGCAATAAGCTGTTGGATCTCTACGAGCAGGAGCAACCTATTCGAAAGGTAGCCGCATTGAGTGATGACAAGGAGCAGGCTGAACAGGAACGTACAGACCCTGCAGCAACCGAAGGCTTCAGCGATGAGGAGCCGGAGGAGAGACAGTGCAAGCGCATTAAGCTGGCCAGTCCGGAGCCCAAAGAGGCTGAAGCTACTGTCCAGGCGTGTGCCTAAGTTAAATTTCCATAAGCTTAAAGTCGATGAAATGCAAAAGAACCCCTACTCAAGGAGGAGGTAATACTTAATAATGAAGTTGATATAGATTTTACCTATCAGTAGCAACCTACACACTCGTATATGTACGTATGAATGCAAATCAAAATAAAGTAATTTGTCTTGGAATTTTCATTTTTCTTAAGATGTTGGGTCTCTTACAATAAAAATCTGTGACATGTGCGTTGTCCATATACATATGTACTTAATTTCAAGCTCCATTACCTATTACGACTATAGAAAATTAACTTTATTGGTCTAAATTGGGATGATCGTTTATCCAATTTATTTCTATCCTAACGTTAAATAAAGCGGTTGGAGTCACAAATTATCAACTACTTAAAATAGCACAAATTTGAAAAAAATAAAGAAAACGACTTTAGAATTTGTCAGCTGGTTGCCATCTTTATTTATTTAATAATAGTGTAGCTATGTCTGTTGTGTATTATTTTTGTTGCATGCTCTGCTTGTGTTTATATAGGTTTTTAGTTAAATAATTTATTTATTATTTTTCGTGGCCTTGCGTATTTGTTTATATTTGTAATACATTTAAATACATTCCACTGTGGTTTTAGGGTTTGTTCACGTCGCGACATGGCTAACTTATCAAATTTGATATAGTCCTAGAAAAAATCATCTTCGAAGTGGCGTCCAGATGGTTTCCCGGAATCTGAGGGTACTGAATTTTCGTTCTTGAGTCGTGTCCAGCTGTAGGAGCTGCGAATTCCATTCGCACTCGTTTCAGAGCTATGCTAAGCGAATGCTTTGATTTTTGTAAGCTCGTTAGCTGCGTATATTCAAAAGTGTGTTGTTGGTGGATCGAAATTTTAATAAAATCCTGGGTCCGGAACGTATCATCGATACAATTCTATCAATTTCGCCAAAGAAATTATAGCACTAACAATACATTTAGCAGGCGGGGAAAGAATATTTAACCGCATAATTATTTTCTACATTTTTCGGTTACATCTTTCGGCCATTTACGTTATCAAAAACACAATAAATGTTATATTAAAAGTTCCTACGTCCCAGATTGCGGCCTAATGACCAAATATCATTTTCTGTTCCTGCGAGTCGACCCACTCTTGTGTGGTGTGTGTGTGTGTCTGTCATCGAATTGTTTAGCCTGGAAGCCTGGTTCAACATCGTTTATGGTACATACATACATAAATATTATTTCAGATACATACATACATACATATACATATATATATATAGGTATATATATAAAAATAACAAATAATAGCAGTAATAAAATCGTTATGTGTAATTTCCGAATATAATAAAAACAATACGCGCCGGCCTGCCCTGAATACTAAGCTGATACTTTCAATTGCTCGTCGTTCCCGACTGATCCACGTCCACGTCCAGATCCGGATGCTGCTGCTGCTGCTGCTCCTGCGGCACATACATCACGGCAGTGCCCTGCTGGTCGGTTTCCGAGGATATCGACCAGTTGCGTTCCAGCTGCTCTAAGGCCGCCATGGTCGCCGTGGTTGTTACCCCCGCACCGGAGCTCTCTGCCCCGGCACCGTCGCTCATAACGCCTGCTTTGAGCGTCTCTTCCAGCAGCACCTGGATCTTGTCTTGGTCGTCAAGGTGGACGAAGCCCAGGCGCACTAGTTCGCTCGTGAGGTCCGCCGCCGTATCGTTCTCGTTGACCTGGCATGTCAGCTGACGGTTCATTTTGTCGTCCATGCGCAGCAGTATTGTCATGGTTATGTCATTGCTGTCCTCCTTGATTTTCACGCTGCACATCATGTTAACGATGCGTCGCGACTCCGTGTCCACCGGCTCCGGTGTGGCCGACTTCACGGAGTCAGCCCGCTCCGGAGAGGCGGCCCTCGAGCGGAAATTGGGCGGCTTCTTGCCGCTGTACGTAATTAGCGGATACACACCGTACTTGACGTCCTCAACGAACTTCTCCAGTTTGTCGGCGCCCGAAACGTCTGCCAGGCGATACTGCCGCTCCTGGCCGCCGGCCAGCCGCAGCTGGGCCATAATCACGTCCGGCTGGTAGTAACGCTGCATCAGCCCGTCGAAGGCGGTTTCCGAGAACATGGTGCGGTTGGCGGGCGAGAAGACCAGACAATGGGCAGTCAGCAGTTTGAGGGAGTGCACCTGCAGGAGAAACAAATAAAATTAAATTTAATTAATTTTGTAATCAATGTTTTAAAAAAAAAATGTAACCTCCTTAATTGGAGAACCACAACCTGTGTCGATTTGAGCAATGCAGTACATCACATACAGCAAAAAAAAAAAAAAAAAATTGGGGTCAAAAATCACTAATTTCTCTTGATTGATGACCGCAGACACATAACACTTTAAATTAAAGAAGAACAAATTATACACTCAAGTTTCGTGACAACGAGATAACATATTTCACCCAAAATCTTGGCAACTACTTGTTTGGATTAAAAAAAAATAGTTGTGAACATTTTTTGAAAAAAAAAAATTGTCAATAATATTGGCAAAGTTGTTGTTCTTTTATTTTTAGCTTTGGCTATATTTATTCAACGAAATATGTTTTCGGTGATTGTCAACAAAATTGTTTTGTGATACTGGTAATTATTGTTTGGAAGAAGTACCATTTAATGTTTACTGCTTTTACTGCAATTGAAATATACTTTACTTAATTGTAGTAAACTATATAAATACATACGAGGTTCCCAAAAATCTATTATGATCTTCCAGGCTGCTTCAAGAAACCTCCTAAAAATCAGAGGAACACTCGATTTTTTGTTTTGTCAAATATACATTTTTTAGATTTTATTAAAAAAAAATTTCTGTGACAAAGTGACACAGTATAATAAAGAGAACAATACTGAACTGAATCTCACTTCCGCAAGACTTAAGGCAATTGTCGTGCGGAACTCCAATTGAGAACATGATGGTTTGACTCATAACTCACCTCGAAAAGCAGTGGGTGAAAAAGCAGATCGTTGGCACTGGGCCGGTCCTGCGGCTGCGGATTGAGACACTTCCGTATCAGGTCGCGCTGCAGATCGTTCTCC